AGGCTTTGCAGGCACCGGAGCCCCACATGGACCTCTTATGTGTTGGGCAACCTGGTTCTGGGAATCCACTTCCAAAAAGACCGACCACCTGTCGCTCTGGTTCTTGCGGCTTTTTCGGGGGTTTCGTTAAAAAAACAATCTTGAAAACCTGAAAGGTTGCTTTGGGAGGGGGACAGATGGGCAGCATCATTCAAGATCATCTGGAGAGGCATTTTTTAAAAGAACCACCCTCCAAAAGCCGCAAGATCTGGAGAGATGGGTGGGCAATCTTTTTTTGGGGGGGAATCCCCAGAACCAGGTTGCCCAGCGCCCCGAAGGGGTCCGTGTGGGGCTCCGGTGGCTGCAAAGCATGGTGCGAGGGGCAGAAGTCTCCGAACCCAGCAAGGCAATGCAGCTCCAGCAGTTTCCCCCTTCCTCTGCCCAGCTCACTCATCTTTCACCTGGAGGCTCTGCCAGCAGGGCCCCTGCCATTTCATCTCCCGAGAGATGCTTGAGACAGAAACGCAAATAGCCACAACTCGAGGCTCCCAAGGAGGATTCTGGACACCGGGGGTGGTGGTGGCACCCGCTGCTGCTTCTTCTGCTGCTCCCAGTAATGCAGGCTTCTTGGAGAGCATTAAGTTGCAGGCACAGTGGCGCACCGATTCCAGCAGCTGCGTTTTCTCTTGAAATTTGCTGTCCCAACAACCTGAAGGGGACATTCTCCCAGCAGCATCTCAGGCGCTCCCACCCTTAGCTGTGAGAGAGTGAGGATGGCTGGGCACTGTTTGGCACCTCCCAGCTAAGTGTGGGAGCGCCTGAGATGCCGCTGGGAGAATGTCCCCTTCGGGTTGCCGGGACAGCAAATTTCAAGGGCAATGAGGAGGGACTTTCTCGTATGCCTTCGGAGAAAAAAAGAAGGCATCTCAGAAAGCCCCACTCCCACTACCTCTCAGAGGTGGGGCGATTGGTGAGCCAATCAATGAGCGATGGGCGTGGAAAACATGGTGCAGACGGGCGGGAGGAGTGAGTGAGCAGTGCCAGAACAGGCTGGGTGAACAAGTGAGCGAGCAGCAACCAGACGGGCAGGAGGAGAAGGCAAGGGGGGGCAGGCAGGAGGGAGCATTCCGGTACTGTCCCATTGGACGAACGGGTTCTAAAACATATGGTAAATTTGACAAACCCCTTCTGGCATACCAGTGCAAACTGGGAGCAACCCACTCCTGGTGGAAGGAATGTTTTTTAAAGAAGAACTTTACAAGTATGTATGTATAATGCTGGGAAAGACCGAGGGCAAAAGAAGGAGGGGATGACAGAGAATGAGGTGGCTGGATGGAGTCACTGAAGCTGTAGGCATGAACTTAAATGGACTCCAGAGGATGGTAGAGGACAAGAAGGGCTGGAGGAACATTGTCCATGGGGTCACAATGGGTCAGACCTAACCCTAACCCTAACAACAAATGTCTATGTGTACATTTGCCCAGGCCTAAGTGTGCATGCCTGGATTGATATTTTTTTTAATGAAGAAGGAAGGAAATGACTGGACTTTAATCAGTGTTCACGGCTTTGCCAAGAATAGTCTTGCCCCACAAAATTTCAAAACAATTTACACTTTTACACCATTTTATAAATTTACAGTCTTAAAAGGACCATTTAGTGCTACCATAAATGTTTGCTTGGGCTCCAGAATTATACAGTCCAGGAACAATTTCATTACCATTGATATCTCTGGTGTAAATAAAGCATCAGAATAACTTTGGGACTGATTAGTAGGTGGTAAAATCATGATGACTAATCTCTGTGCTTCTGTAACCTGACATTTAATTATTCTAACATCCTATATGCCTAGCAAATCCCAATTTTGCATTTGAACAGCTCAAGCTTCTGACATTCCTTGTGAGTGAGGTCTTAGTTCCATGGCTTTGTCTCAGAGTGACGAGCATACACACAGATACACAAACACAAAATTGTAATACTGGAGTCACATTCCGACATCATAGCTAGAAATTTGAATCCATCAACAGAGAAGTAATACCACTGAAATTAATTGATTCATACATCAAATGTGCCATGTAAGTAAATAATGAACCCTGCCTTGGAATCCAAAATGGTTTTTTTTTCATCTTTCAAACAGCATTATTTTCTGTGTGTCTGAGAAATGGCATTACAGGCTCAAGTAATATTGTTTCCAAAGTTTGCGTAGAAAGAAAGAAAAAAATATGGCTGATTTCACTTGTCAAGCGAGCTAGTTTCATACCTAGATTCTCAGTTATATTTTTGCCTTGGCATTAAAGGTAAATTAAAATGAAATAATTTAAAAACTCTTGGAGCATCTTGAATAATGAAGTTTATATGACATATTACAGTCTCAAAGCAGCACATTTCTGTGTGCTGGAATCTTTGTATCTCAGTGAGCAAATTATAACAGTGCAATTTCAGTATCATTATTCTCAGATGACGGTGATGATGGAGATTTATTCTGCCCCCTAGGGACTCAAGACAATTAACAACATTACAGGTCCTGATTCTTATTTACAATACCATCTTTCCAGAGCCTGCTAAATGACTTCAAAGCCCAACTTGATTGCACAGAATGCGTTCCTTCCGCTGGGCAAAATTCCATGGAAGAAACTTTATGAAGACCAACAGTAAACATTCCATTAATTTACCTCTTGTCCAATGGCAAGTGATTACAAAAGTTATAATCCCAAATCACCTGGGGCTTAGCTTCAGTTCAAACCATTTCTATGCAAAGACACTGCACACTTCATTATCCTTCCATCCCAAAAATAAAACCCTACTCTTCTAGGCAGTACTCGACTTATGACCATAATGGATCCTGCTTGTTGCCATCATATGACTGACTCAATGTTACAATTTCTTTGGCAGTGATTGTTAAGTGAATATCACAGTCATTAAGAGAACCAATGGTTTGCCTGGGCATGGTTTTGTCAAAAAATGGGAGTAATTGTTGGTTTTTAGCAAAACCATTGTAAAATGCATTGTGGGATCCTTTCAAAAGGTTGCTAAGTGACAAGTTGCAAGTAGAGTATTACCTGTATAGTATTTAGTCAGCTATTCCCAATAGACTAGACCAGAAGTGGTGTTCAGCAGGTTCTGACCAGTTCTGGAGAACAGGTAGAATGCCACCTCTGACTGGCCCCGCCCCCAACTATTCTCTGCCTCCCGCTGATCGGGAGAGAATGGAGATTTTACAATATTCTTCCCCTGCCACGCCTACCAAGTCACACCCACAGAACTGGTAGTCAAAATTTTTGAATCCCACCACTGGACTAGACCACATCAACATCTGGATGTATATCTCATGTATTACTTACTAAGTAAAGCTCCTCCATAAAGACGGATAGGCATTTTGCTGTTGACTACCTCTTCCTTGAAGATGGCATCATAGATTTGATCTGGAAAGGTGAGAGCCTGGAAGAGAAAAACAAATTTCAGTTAAAAAAAATCCCTCCTGTAACTGAAATATTTAGTGTCCAAAGAAAAGGATTTTCATTGAAAATAGAAATCAGATATAATTAAATCCGTCTCAGACAGATGTCAATGCTCACAAAGAGAGGTTCACTTGGATCACTGTTTCAACTGAACAACAGTTGCAGATAGTAGTGGGAAAAGAGAGAGGGAAGCTAAAAAAAGCTACTAAAACATGGTATTTTGTTCTTTTATAAGACAACTGCAGTGAGATTACTATACACTCAAAAGTGGAAAAGTTTGAGGAATGGTTGGTGAAGACAATAGTTTGCAGAGATGGCTAAATCACTCCAGATAAGGAACAATTATCTACTTTTATGCTAACTGCAAACCCTCTAGTGCATGAAACAAAAAATAATTATGAATTATGAGTTAGAAAAAATGGATAATAGAAAAAAGTGAGTTTTTGTTTTAATTATAGATATAATTTTGTAATTATATTTATATTTTTTGTTTTGTTTACTCCTTGTGTTAGTTTTATTAAAACTGTTAATAACGTTTATATTTTTAAAAAAACAAATAGAGAGAAAACCCAATCTTTATTGCAGAGAAACATAGAGCTGGAAGAGTTTAGATAATCCTGCTCAGTGTAGCAATCTCAGTTAAAACATCCCAGGCAGATTACTGTCTTGATTCCATTAGAATAATTCCAATGAAGAAAAGCCCACCACTTATCTGGTTTTATTGATTCCAGTCAAATTGTTGATTTTTTTCCTTATAGGTTCACTGAGAACATATGCACCAAAGATAAATTCCTTGTGTGTCCCATCTGTTCTGTTCTGTTCTATTCTATTCATTATAGTATCAGTGCATGTTTTCCTGTAAGCTAACTTCATTAGTAGTCTGCACTTTGGAGCATGAGATGCCAGGTCTTGTCTATCTTCTACAGCAAGTGACATCATTTAGTCCTTGACTTCTGATCACAGTTGGGACAAGAATTTTTGTTGTCAAGCAAGGTGTTTGTTAAGTGAGTCACATCCAATTTTACAAATTTTACAAATCTTAAACAAATCAACTGCAGTTGTTGAGTGGATCATATGGTCATGAAACAATTTTGGCTTCAACATCAATTTTACTTGTCACAAGCCAGCTGAAAAGATTACAAATGGTGATCATATGACCCCGGGATGTAAATAGATGCCTCTTGTCCCATCCACTATCCACTAGCTGCACGCTATGTTGTCTCTTATCTGTCCATTTAGGGGCAAAATTTTGATTATGTGACCATTGGGAAACTGCGATGGTTTGTGATAGGACTGGTTGTAAGTCACTGTTTTCAGTGTTTTTGTATCTTTGAACAGTCACCAAATAAATGGTTGTAAATCAAGGACCACCTGTATCTAAAAAGTGCTCTTGAACTACTGTCTCCTCCTAAGGCTTCTTTTAGAAAAAATGAAAGCCTAAACATACCACTCCAGTTTCTTCCTAAACTTAATCTCTGATGCCTTTATCATCTCCATTGCCATTGTATAAATCTAATTCCAATTCTCTGAATCCCTCTTAAAAGTGGTGCCCAGAACTAGAAGCAATGCTTAAGTATGATTTGACCAAAGCAGAATAGAGTGGCATGATTATTTCCTCTGATTTATAAATTATACTTGTATACCATATTAAGGTTGTTGTTGCAGGCTTTAATTCTATTTGCCTTCTTTGCAGTCTCGCCTCACCACTGGATCGTATTCAATATGGATCAATTACTACTAGAAATCTTTCACAAGCTGGTATCCCACTTCCTTTACCTGTGCATTTGATGTTTGATTTTTGACTGAAGAACTTGTCTGTAGTAAGTTTCATTCTGTTACTACAGACCATTTATCCTATCAGTAGTGTTTTAAATTTCTTTTGCTCTTCTTTTCTTCTAGGGAAGGGGTCCCCAACCTCTGGGCTGCAGCCCACTACTGGACCATGGCCCGTTGGAAACCAGGCTGCACAAGTGGTGGCTAGCTGTGCACACATGCACCAGAGATGGTGTTCAGCCAGTTCTGACAGATTCTGGAGAACCGGTAGCAGAAATTCTGAGTAGTTTGGAGAACCGGCAAATAGGCTGGCCCCGCCCCCTGCCTCCCAGCTGATCTTCTTTTGTTGCCCTGAACAGGAGAACGGAGCTGGAAAACAGGTTAGTGGGGTGGGGAGGGAATGAGGATTTTGCAGTATCATTCCCCTGCCATGCCCAACAAGCCATGCCCACCAGGCCACACATGCCCAACAAGCCATGCTCACAGTACGCATAGTAAAAATGTTTGAATCCCATCATGGACATGCGAGCAGCTTCACTTGCATGAGCAGCAGGTGATTGCACCTGCCCTCACATGGAACTATTCAATCTCCCCCTATCAGGTTACCAAGCCAGAAAGATTGGGAACAGCTGTTCTAGCGTATTAGGTATCCAACTCAAGTTTATGACACCCTGCAAATCTGGTACAACTTGAACTTAATATTATATTAGTTCACATTAATAATGAAAACTAATGAGACAAGGGCCACTTGCTATCTCTCCAATATGATGAGGAAACATGGAAATATTGATGAACAATGGTCAAGGGACTGAATCGGAGGACATAATTTTTTTATAGATTTCATAGAAGTCTTATAAATCACTGAGAACAGAATGCTAAAGATGTCTAGGGACAGACATTTAAGTAATTTGATAAGATAACCTCAATATGAAAATGCTTCCCCTACTTACCATGATGGCAACCCCAGAAAATATGATGGCTGACACAAACTGCCAAACCCTGGAAGTTCAAATGAAAATAAGGTTAATTATCACATCCTTTAAATAGGGCATCAGCAATAGATGAAAACTAGTTACTTTTACTTCTGCAGAAAGGGTCATCTGAGCAATTCCTGAAAAGAGACTGTGAAATAAAACAGGGTATAGAAGAGAACAAGATATGGCTTTTTAAAAGCAATTTCAAAACACTTGAGGGCAGGAATCACCAGGCAGTCCAGAAAGAGCATGCACCTGCTAATTGTCTATCATTAATGTTGGGAGAGCAAGTGCGTTCAGCAAAGCATTGTGAGAGTTGTGTTGGAGAACACACAAACCAGCATATAGAGACACTGCAATTTAAATAGGCTTTTACTTTCGTAGAAATAGAAGTATCAGAGTCCATCCAAGTCATACATGGATAAGACAGTCAGTCATCAATGTCTTTCAGTTAAGGGATAATCCAAATAACATAGTCCAGTAATATATAATCAGTTCAGTACTCAAAGTTTGCTAGCAGTTGCAAAACTTACAATAGCTCACGGCACTCAGATCAGATCAGATCAGCCAGCATCTTACGGACAGAGAGTTAACAGTCATTCTGGCTCCCTCTTATGGCCGATTGAGGAAAACAGCAACCAATCACATTTTACAGTATGATTTAAAGAAACAGGTATAGCATTGCTATATGATTTATATATTGCCAACCCAACAGTTAGATTATATTCCTAACAATTAATATCATCCAAACATTGCTAATGGGGTTTTCTTTGTAAAATAGGATGTTCCAGCTAGTAAGGGAAGTTAAAAAAAATTAATACCTCCTCTAAGGAATTAGAGAACCTTATTATATTTATATAAACCCCAGCAGTCCTCCAGATCTATTGAAGCAAAAGTTCTATCATTCTTAGAACAACAATAAATAATACAACAATAAACAATGTGATAGATATTTTAATGCCACAGGCAATCCATTACGATTGCCCTGTTTAGCAACTGTTCAAAGATGCGTGCAAACATTTAGGCACTCCTGCTTAAATTATATTCTTTAAGTGAAGAGAAGCCAATCTACATGGCACAAAGTTAATTTTGGCATCTTTTTGGTTATTTGAATGCATACTTACTATTTATCTGCAGCTGTTTATAGATTTATAACAGTGACTACAGTAGGTTTAGACTTTGAAAAACTTTTCAGCCAGTCCTTAATAACACCTCCTTTGGCAGAAATAACAGCTTCCAAATGTTTCCTCTTTAGTCAGTTACAAGTGTTACAATCCTTGATTTTGGATATTTTCCCACTCTTCCTTTTAGAACTCATCTTGCTCAAAATTTCTATTTTGTGGAGATTGCAACGGGTATTTGCAGATAAATGTACACAATGTTATTGTGGCACACACCCAGGGCTGTCTTAATGCAAGGGCCTGTTGAAGACTTGCCCGTGGGCCCTACGAGCATAGGTGCCCCCGTACTAATCTGTGTATGTTAACCCTTCAATGCACCTTGTATATAAATACAGCAACGTATTTATTACATTTTACTGCACTTTTTTATTAATACTAACATGCAAATATATGTTTCATTTTATTGACCATTTACATTTTTTATTCCTGTGAGTAATTGTCATAGGGGCCCCAATACACTGCTTTGCCCGGGGCCCATAATGCTGTAAAGATGGCTCTGCACACGCCTTTTACAACAAGGAACTGTGGCTCTGGATTAACATCACCCTCCTAAGCCTTGTAAGTTGATGCCACATAAATATGTCTTTTAATACTCAGTACTTAAAACAAACACAAATCTGAAAATAACTTTTGCCTCTCTCAAATTTCTTGCACCACATGGGATGAGGTGCCGCCTCGGTGAGGGTGCTCTTTTTCTGGTTGCTCCTGAGCGCCAGGCCAAATTCTAAGGCTTGGTCTTCAGCAGTGTTGCTTTTGTGCTCTTGGCTGTTGTCCCAAGCCAAGCTCCAGGCAGGAATCCCACCAAGATTTGCTGTTTACCGTAGCTTGTGGTCCTTGGCTTTGGGGAAGAAGCATGAGCTGTGCTGAGCCTTGGGGCAGTGGGGGTGGGAAGTATTTCTGCCTGACTGCAGCTGTTTTTTCCCAAGAGCAGACAGCACTTCAGGAAATTTTTTGGATCATCATCTTGCTGAAGTAACAGCTTCAGTTTCTTCACTGAGAGTAGGACATTAATTTTTAGGATGTATTTTTCATAATTAAATCCATTCTTCGTTTCCCCCCACCCATATAAGAAACTCCTGCAATGTTGATTGCCCCACACTTTCAAAGCACAATAGATCCAATACAGTGTTTAAGGATTGGCAAGAAGTTGTTTTTTCTTCAAATATTTCAGCCTTGTCCTCCGAATGTATCATATTTCTTGTGACCAAACACTTTGAAGAACAACTGTAAACTACACACCTACACAAGGATCAGCTAAACTTTTCAACCTATTGTTTACAGTGATCTGTGACTTCTGCTTTGCAGTTCTGACTGGTTTTCACACAGTTATGCTTCTTTGTCATTCATATTTTCCTTTGGCAGCAAAAAATTCATTTACAATATTTTTCATTTCTTAGCAATGTCTCTCACAATAGAAATTGGCAGCTGGAAGCATTTACAGAGGGTTTTTTTCCTGTAGCTTTCCTGCTTTTTTTTTTTTGTTTACTATTTTTCAAATCTCTGAGGAGTTTATGATTGTTGGAAGTAGAAAGAGACAACAATCACAACCTAAGAGGTTAGACAAGTCAGAATATTGTTTCATTGTCTTCACTTGGCCAACTGTAGTCTATCATCTTTTGAAGCCTATTCAAAACTTTACAAGAATAATATAAAAAAATATGTTTATGTTTTTGTGTGTGTCCAATCTTTTGCCTCTAACATATTCACTGTGCTTTTATTTTTACACACCACTGTAAACACTTGGTTGAAAGCACTCCAAAACATTCTCAAGTTTCTTATTGGCAAGTTGTTCCTGATGAATTTAGGGAGAAGGGAAATAAACTTTGTTCTCTGTCTGATGCATCATCCTAATCATTTAAGTAGTATAGTGGCTGCAGGTATAATGGTCCCTGCATTGTGGAATGAGTCATGTTTTTCCTTATTTTGGAAGACTTTACTGAATTGCTTCCCATCAATAAACTTTTCAATAGATAGAATGGATACGATATTGGATTAGAAGTCAAGAGACTATGAATTTTAGTCCTGTCTTTGGCATAAAAGCCAACTCGGCGATCAGTCATCCCCTCTCAGCCACAGGAGAATGACAATGGGATCCTACTTCTGAAATGTTACCCGAGAAACACTGGAACTTGTCTGTTTAGCAGTCCGAAATCAAGACTGAAGTACACAAAAGACACACCAGCCTGCAATTCCCTAATCTAGGAGTGTCAAACGGCACTTGACACTCCTAGATATGGCAGCATCACGTGATGTATCACAACTTTTTTCACCTTCACTAAACCAGGCATGGGCGTAGCCAGTGTGTGACACATCCAGCCCATGGGCCACGAGTTTGATAGCCTTGTCCTAGTCCACGTTCAATGTCTTAACCACTGTACTCTTGAATTCTGTTCCTTTTTAGAGCCATTCAAACTCAAGGTTAACTTATAATTTTCAAATATCCTCTGGCAGCACTATAAATCCAATTTCAAAAGCTGCTTAGCTCTTGATGGATTTCTCTCATCCTTTACAGTAAATTGAAGGGAGAACTTCAGATCCACATACAGTAGCCAATCACAAGAACATCCCATGGCCACATTGGCCAACTGTAATTAGGACCTTTAAACTTAAAGCTTTCTCCTCACCCTGTTCCTGCATACATATTGCCAGATAGTATTCTTTATATTGGTAAGCTATGGAACTAGGACTAGAGGCAAAGTTGTACTTGCCACTAATTTCACTACATAGGGGTTTTCTGGCTGCAGGATGATCATGCACACATTTGCAAGAAAAGCAAGCATGCTTGAAGCCAAAATGAGTAAAATACATAGCATCCCTGTTATGTATTCCTGGTTTATAGGTTCTGAATGGAACTTACCTGAGCCCCAAAGGTTCCCTCACTGCAAACTTGATTTCATTGCCCAAGACTTGACTGATCTGGAATTCAAATGGACAGAATAAATAAACTGATTCAGAGCCATCCTGGAAAAAAAAAACTTTTGAGCAATAAAATGCATGCAAATTATATTTCTGGTCCACCCAAACATAAAAAAGAACAATTAATATTTGCTGAGAGTGAAACTGTGACTACTAAAATAGCTCAATAAGGTCTAAACCACCTTATACGAGTTTTATTTTATTGCCACTCTACAGGTGAAAGATTTGGTCTATTACTCATTACATTGCAAACTTATTCAGGGGCACAAAGCTAAATTCCTTTTGTGCCCTTGTTAATCCAACTGAATCAGTCCAGTTTAGAAGAAACTGTTGTTTGGCGAAAACATACATGTAATGAAACAAATTGCATTTTTGCAATGGCTGCAAGGAAGATAAGAAGGCATATCCTGACAAACAGTGCCACTAATATTAGAGGGGGTGTACTGAATGGACATGGATTGCTGTGATTTTATTTGAATTTTGCCAAAACCTGTGGTTGAAAATAAATGTTGAAATAAGCAGTATACCAGCTGCTACTCTCATAATGTGTAGTCTACAACATTCAAAACTATTCATATTGTCAACTAATTATATCCAGAGAATGCCAATTTGGAGAAGGATTGGTCTAAACAGATGGCAAGTAAGTTGCCTACTCCCGAATCAACAGCCACCCTTTATATGGAATTAGCAGCATCAGCCTTCCCCTGATGCCAGAAAAGGCAGGAAGTTGAACTGATGGTTTGGCTACTGGGTATGGTGGTGTATTGAGATACTTCTCAGCAATTTAAAGCTGCCTCTTTATGGGAAAGGACAGCTTATACACAAAATTGTTATATCAAGAAGTCAGGCAGGCTCTGTGTATCCAACCTGTGTCTCTGGTAGCAATTCTCCGGGAATTCAAAAAAACTTGAGTGGCTTGCTAACAATGTCTGAAACAGACTCCGAGTTTGTTTTTTGGGTTTTTGCACAAATAAAATGTGATCTACCACTTGCTTATGATCCCTTTGCAAGCATCTTGGGGGAATAGCATGGTCTGGTTGTGCAAGTTCGAACAAGAAAGTGGGAGGATAGGAAATGGGAGCAAAGGAACTCAGTATCTCAAAGTTGACTGCCTGAAAAACAAACAGTCCCAGGTGACACAAGAAAATTGTTGAAGCCATAAAATCTTTCATCTCATCCTTTCTTCAAAAGACAAACAATGGTTAAAACTGTTTTTTTAAAGACAATTACACAGGCCTTAATTTAAAAAAAAATCTATATATAAAAGGTAAAGAAAGATCAGTGACAAAAATTGTGGAATCCATAGAAAGTTATCTGAATGTAACTGAAAATTACCAACACTCATTTTAGGTTACATCTAATGCAGCTGTTTCCAACATGGTTTAGTACTTACTAGGATGATTGTTCTCACTCCAGGGGAGAGACCCAGAAAATGTTTAATACTTTCCCAATGGGTTGCGCTCAATACTCACAACAGGCAAAAGAATGGATTTTATAGTTTGAAGATAAAAAAGAGTGAGTTTAAAAGGCAAAATTTTGCCCCCTGTTGCAAGATGTTTGTTTTTAAATTTTTGTATAAATTCATTTGCCATCCATTTCATGGCAGAGAGAGGGAAATATAATAATTACTGAACAAGGAATACTCCAGCAAAATTATCTTTGGGTAGTTAAGAAAGTACAAATCACAGGAAAGAGAGAGGCCCAAGGAAGCAAGAACAAAGGCAATTTAAACAACCTTCAGTTGCTTCCTGCCATCTCCAGCTTAGCACTATCAACTAGGAAAGCACACTTTGCATATGCATTGCATCGTTATTTCCTGCTTTTAACAAATGATACAAAAGCAACTGAAAAGAGAAAAAAAAATAGAGTTAGCCTTCTGTGAGCTAGCTGAGTAGGGCAAAACCCTGCTACTTTATTGGGCTATATGGTGGCTAAACATAGATAGTCCCAAGGGTGCCTTTTCAAGAGGCAACTGGACTTTCTGGTTTTTCTTTGAAGACATTTTGCTTCTCATCTAAGAAGCTTCTTCAGTTCTGGATGAGATCTCAGAGAAAAATGAGAAAATCCAATTGCCTCATGAAAAAGCACCTTTGGGACAATCATGACCTGGATAACTAGAATCTCCATAAACATAGATATGCTTTCCCAATATAAAAAACCAACACACCTCATCTTACAAAGAGATCAATTTCCTCTTCAAGAAAGTGATATTCTTTGGGGTGGAGTGGAATTGCAAACAAAATCACCAAGTCATACAGATGGAGCTTCTAAACTTTGGGATTCTACAATCTATAGCTAGTGCATTACTACATAAAAAATAAAATTGTTTTTTTCTTTTGTGAGGTTTAAGCTTCACATGCCAATTGGAGAGTTGTGTAACCATGGACATTTTCAGGACATGTTATTCTTGCCCATAAGTCCTCTTACTATTCCAAGTTCTGGGAACTCATACTACAAGTCTAATTATTGTCTGACAGTGTGTCATACTTTTGGTTAGACAGACAAAGGAAGAGAAAGAAAGAAATTTGAAACTATCTACTATGAGGAGAATCTAGCAAAAAACCCAATCCATAAAATAAAATGGAGCACAAAATTATTTCTTTATATAAATTGTTTTCTCTTTATAACCGTATTATGGACACTTTCCAATGACCTTTTAAAATTACCGGCATTTTAAGGTAATTTCAGTTATCAAAAAAAGGATTACTGTAATTCCATTCTCAGAACACAAAAGGCTACATACATGAAAAACACCTGTTCAGAAAGTCATCTGACAAGGATCATTCTAAGTTGCTAAGCAACTGCTGGGGTTCAACGACAAAAGGTCAATCCATTAATTAAAGATACAATATTTGTAAGCAGCAGAGTTCACACAGAGAAATGGACCTTGCAATCACATGGAGCCAAGAACCTTCTCCCTACTTTAACAACACCACTTATTCACTCTGTGAGAGAGATAGGCGGTTTCTAAAATTTGATATATAAATAAATAAATAAAAACACAAGAAGAGTAAACTGCTCTTCTGGAAAGGGTGAAAAAAATCTAGAGGAGAAAAAGGGAATGACACATGGTAGCAAAGGAAGCTGGATTAAAGCAGTCCTGGAAAATCCCAGATACATAGTTAGTACGGATGCCTTAAATTCATCACACAGCATTGCCCCAATCAGAAAAGACTGGATCTTTTGCATATCTCAGGCACATTCTAGGCTTCCATTTGCCAGAATAAAGAGGCAAAACATTATCCTTTCCTCTGACGACTTGGGTTTTGAATTTGGCCATGGAAGTCACACTTCGCAACTTTCAGCAGCATGGGCTGTCGAACTCACCCTCTTGGGTCTTATTAAAATGCATTCATTCAACAATAAATTAGCAACAGCAGATTCTCAGCCATTAATGTTTCCTTGAATTTTTCTTTCGTTTCCTTTTCACTTTTTGTCCAAGGCCTTTCAGTCAGGGAAAAGCATTTCGTTTTTGTTTTTAATTTTTGTTTTTGAATAAGAAGCAGCTCCCAAGGATTACAGTTAGAAGTCAACATATAATAAGGAGGAAAGGGAAGGGGTGTATGTGGACAGAGAAGTGTATAAACTCTTCCTTTCTTCTGTTTTGTCCATTCAAAGAGGAGCATTCAGAGGATATGCATATCTCAGTTGAAGTGTTATCCACCAGTCTTAATGATGGCGGCATATTGTCAGCATAAAATGTGCCACCCCCACTGACATTTCTATCCTACCACAGGAAAGTTACCAATAAATGGTAGTGCTTTCTGAATCCCTTTCATCTTTTCTACATGATCCATGATTAGCTGCTACTTCTGATTCCAAGCTCATTGATAAGTCTGTGTGAGACACCAGTTGGAAACATCTAGTGAGCAAGAGGGCAATATCCCAAAACTAGTAGATCAACATAAAATGGCCAATAGGTTTTAGATTGAGTTTACACTCTATGAAGATACCTGACCAAATGGGCAGTGAAGTTATCCTGGCTGACTACCTGGTTGGGAAGAAAACCAACTTTAATTGCAGAATTATTAAGGAGAACATTAAGCAGCCATGGGTGTGAGTTGTGGATGAGGTGAAGACAACAACGTGAAGATGTGGCAGGAAAAAAAAGTTGGCTGGGGCAAGTTAAACTGGGTTAAGCTCTGTAGCAAACCTCAAAAGTCACAATTTTGTCAATTTAAGATCAATAAAAATTTTAAAAACTCTAAAAGTTTCATCAACATTTGCACTAACTGATATGTAGTAGATACTTATTCAAATTCTACTGTGTGATAACTGTCCATGCCAGCTGGGTTGCGACCTATATAACCTTTGCTAATTTAAGAAAATCCAAACTATACATGATGCAATATGCTTAACACTTGGATGGGAAATTGTCGGGCATTGAATTTTAGACTAGTCTGGAAGTTGATGAAACATTCTGAAAAACAGCAAAAGATTAGCTGTACATTTCTTGGCCATTTCCTTTAAGGCAATTGATGCTCTTGCAATACATCATTGATCAAAAGCAAAAGAACATTGTGAAAAAAGACATAAAGAGAGAAGAGGAGAGATATGATAGCTGTACTGAAAAAAGAATTTTTGTGAGTTACCTAGAAATCAAAGCTCTCTATTCTTTCTGTTTAGAGAACCATAGGTTTTCTTACACCTACAAAGACATGTCTCTAATGAGGTAAGAACAGCAGCTTCAACCATCCACCCCCACCACCTAACCGCATAGACCTCATTCCCTCCCACTGCTGTGAATGTATCGTCAAGCTTTTGCAATTAATTCACATACACAACAGTTCTGTATGTATGTGTTAGTAGAAAGATGAGGTTATGCAATTGATTAGAAAAACATTGGCTTCAACATAAGATACAAAATTAAGGGGAAACCAAAGCAATAAATACACACTATGAATTTCCACTTTCTCCTGTCTCATCTGCCTTGCCTCTGAAGTGGAGTTTCATTCCTTCCACCCAGGCTTAAATCTAGCATTTCCCCTTGGCCGTTAATTGGTTCTCCTTTTCCACCCCAGCATTCAACACCCTTCTTTCCAAGTATCAACAAAAAGATTAATTTTTTAAAATCTTGTTCGTTGAAATGCTACTTCGAACATAGGAGAAATCATGATTTCCAAGAACTCCTGTATACAGCCTCTCAAGTCTAACTTCTGCTAAACAGTCTAAGAAGTTTGTCCTACAAGGCTAATCACTATTAGTAAGTGGGTCCTACTCCAAGACACTTTTGTGCAACTTGCACAGATTGTTCCCAACCCCTTTCCTTCTTCATGTATGTGCCCTGAAATCATCCTTCCTTTCTGATCGAATAAAATATTTGATTATTTAGGTTAATAGATCCCCAATCCTCATTTCTGGAATAAAAAAAGGATAATTTTTGTTTTGTAGGTATGATCAAACAAGATGACTCAAGAAACAAGGGCTTGATGGAGACAAAATCTTTCTTTCCCTCAGCAAGTGTCACAATCTTTCAAAGTTAACATGTCAGTTAACATGCTAGGGAACAAAGCAGGCTCTTATTAGGTTTGAATCATTGTACATATACACAACCTTTGACATGAGGATTGGGAAATATCTGTATTGCTTCATACAGATCACAGCATTCTTACTCTGGCTGAAATTGACAGAAATTGGAGTCTAACAATACCCAGGGGTCATTGGTTTATATTTCATCAACTCTCTCATCTTTTTCAGAATCTTAGAAGAAATAAGAACCTTAAAGTAATATAATTAGTCCCCAAACACACTTATCCGCTCTCTCAGATGCACTCAATCTATCTGATTAATATTAATAGTGTGTTAAACAGATTTATCCTCTATTGAAAGAAAATTCAGATTTTGGATGTTTTTATGAACACAGCATATTCATATTAGGAAGTAACTACTAACTACTTCTATCCAGCTGAATACCCCATGTTCGACCAGGAATATGACTTTAGAGCTAGAAGGTATTCTAAAAAAAAAGTTGTCAAGAAATGGTCAAGCTATAATCCTCCAAAAGTTGCTGGACTACATCTCTCACCATCTTTTACAAAGGGCTATGCACTTGGAATTCATGTGATTTGGAATTTTAAGAATTTCTGGAGGGTAACATGTTCTTCATCCCTGCCTAACCTCATTTCCTGAAGTTTTTGAAGTATGTGCTCAAAGTATATACCATAAGATGCACCTTTTTCCCTCAGAAAAGAGGATGAAAATCTGGGTGCAGTTTATACACTGAATACAGCATTTTTTGCCTCCCAAAACCTCGCCTCCTTCACCAAAATGGCCATGCATAGCCTTTAGGAGGCTTTCAGAGTGCTTCTGGGGGCTGGGGAGGGCAGAAATGAGTGAAAAACAGGCCATTTTTGCTCAATTCTTCCCCCCTCAGCCCCCAGGAGCACTCTATAAGCCTTCTAAAGGCTATGCATGCCCTTTTTTTGGACAAAAAACAGGAGTGTTTTTGCGAAAAATGGCCCACTTTTTGCTCATTTTGGGGGGAGGCACCCCCAGGAGCAGTCTATAAGCCTCCTAAAGGTTATTCATGCCCTTTTCTTAAAATTGAAACAAAACAGGCCTGTTTTTGTGAAAAACGGGTCATTTTGGGGAGGTCTGAAGAGTGCAAAAACTTTTTTTTATTTGCCTCTTCAAAATCTTGGTGCGTCTTATACTCCAAAAAATATGATAAGTATATTATTTTTTTCAACAAGAAGAATTGTTGATTCTAAGGGACCACAATTATAGATACTCTTGGCAGCCCTTTACCTTTGACCTATGAACCTCGCCATCGTCATCCTCTCCACCAACACCTAAGATCTTCCTTGTCTTCAGACGACTCACAAGGTCTGTCTGGCTGTGCTTCTTCATCAGAGGGGGAGGCTGCTTGGTTGCCATGGTGATTCACGGGAACTTGCTGCCTTGGACAGAAACTGAAATTAGACAGACTAGAGGTTAGATATATTATTTAAAAAACGTGCATCTTAGGGAGGTTCAAATCCAGATTTTTTTTAAAAAAAATGTGTTCACGAACATCCTTTTCATTTCATGGAAATGATTTAGCCAAACACAATATGGCAAGTATTTTATTCTTTTGTTACAAACTTCTAAGTACTCCCAATAATTGCAGCAATAAAATATTTTTGACTGTGGAATATTTACTTCCTTTTGAATGATGAGAGCATGCTAAGATCCCCCTCATGGTGCATCTACAATCAGGGAAACTTTAGACAGGAACAGGCAAGCGTGGCAATAAGTTTTGCCCATCAAGTCATATCTCAAAGGACTCTTAAACATTTACAAGATCAGCTTTTTCATGCTTCTTAGTCTGAGAAGCAACAGCAACAAAACACTCAGGCATAGAATTCAGCTCACAAAATGGTCTGCGTGTGTGTGTGCGTGTGTGTGTGTGTAATCACAGAGCTCTGCCTCAGTGAAATGCCTTGCCTCACAAAGATATTGCACACCACCCTGGCACTGAAAATATTGGTCCATCACTCTACTCTGCCTCAGTGAAAAATCAAGGTTGGACCCATCAGCATCATTCAGTCTATCTACTTTCAAAACACATGAGGCTCTTGCTGGGAAAACTCAAGGGTTACTTTTCTTGAACCGCTGTCAAAATAAAACCTTTGTGCATAACCATAGCACTTTATAAGCACTAATACATGGTTCCACTCCAATTTTATTTCAATAATGGTCAAAGTGTTCTACGAGTGCCAGAGAAAGATTTGCTTAAGCTAACAGTAAATTTAAAATTCTAGGGCATGAGTGTCAAACTCGCCGTGTCATGTTACCATCACATTTCAAGACTTTTTTCTCCTTCGTAGAACTGGGGTGGGAGTAACAGAAGTGGGTTGCTCCCGGTTCAGCTGAACCGGTAGTGGCAGCAGTGGGAGGCTCTGTCCACCCCCCTGGATTCCTCTGTGCATGAACACAGTTAGCAACCCACCACTGGGGTGTAGCCTGCAGTGATGCATCCGGCCCATGGGTCACCAGTTTGACTCCCCTGTCCTAGGGGCAGTAGTAGGATTCAGCCAGTTCGTACCACTTTGGGAGAACCGGTTGTTAACTTTCTGAGCAGTTTGGTGAACTGATTGTTGGGAGCAATCAATAGGGCAGAGAACTGGTTGTTAAATTATTTGAATCCCACCATTGCCTAGAGGGTAGGGTGGGAATCAGGATTTCTATTTTATTATCTTATACTCTGACCCAACTTTCCGCAACTTGGCATTTACTAGACACCAGGTACCACAAGTGATTAGTCCCTAACCACCATTGTAAGGCAGCTGCCTT